GGGGGGGGGGGCTTAGTGACAGGTGCACGCGCCCTGGGCGGGGGCCGAGAAAGCTTGGAGCTGGCGAAGGCGACAGGCCGCCGGGAGGGTACCTGGATCAGGCACTTGAGGGGCCACCCCCCGCAGCGCACGCTCAGCCTCCAGTTCTTGGACCGCTCGTGGCTTCCTTCGACCTCAAACTCCTTGAGGGTGAGCTGCTTCCCATCCTTGGTCCTTATGCATTTTGCCGAGATTCCTGTTGGTCCGGGCAAGGCAGGCTGAGCTCCCTTTGCTGCCAGGGGTGCCCCCGACTGGGAAAACCCCAGGACTTGGCTCCCCCCCCCCAGGTTGGGCTTTGAATCCGCAGCACAGAAGAGCTGAGTCGCCTCTCGGGGCCCCACGGCCGGCGAAGGGCGAGGGCGGGAGGGGGCTCCCTGCCCTGTGCCCACGCTCCTTTCACCGGGCAACGAGGAGGGCAACAGTTATTACCAGCATTTACTTTTAGAAAGCATTTAGCTATATTCAAAAGAGGAAAGAAAAAGAAAAAAAGAATGGCTCTAAAACAAAGACCAGGATTCTTGCCCTGCCCTTCCCTGAGGCTCCGGATGGAGCCGGGCTGAATTTCAGAGGGGACAGCTGAGGACACACAGGTGGCCACGTGGCAGCTGCTCCCACAGCCTCTCCTGCCTCGTCTTGTACAGTGTTGATCAGCCAGGTAATGGCAAGCAAATTCTTTCTCATATTTTGGATTCATGGCTATTTTATGTGGAAAGTCATTACGGAAATGTCACACAGTAGGAAAAGTTAAATTACTCATATGCAGTATAGCTCCAGGGCACACATTTATACTTGTTGGTGTCGAAAGGACTCTTTTTTAGGAGGGGGGACTCAATCATGGCAGCCAAACATTTGTGCTGTACTTTAACAATTACGATTTGCAAATTATTTTATATCTGTTATGCCCTTTTTTCTCATAAGGCGAGGCAAGTTTTATTGCAATTTCTATTTTGTAGAGGAGGAAGTTTAGGATGCGAGAGAATGACTTGGTCGAGATGAGACGGACTCTCAGTAAAGCTGAAGCTCAAAGCCAGGCCCCCTGATTCTAAGTCCTGCGCTCCCCTGGTTGGCACAAGGCGGTACAGTGTTACAGGGAACCGGGCTGTGAACTTGTTGCCGGGTTTCTTAAATGTGTACATTCCCACCCTGATATTGAGGTGCTTGTTCTTGGGTTGGGTGCTGGGTGGGCATCATAGGGACCTTTTCCAAGGGGCCAAGGGGAGGTGGCCTGGTAGGCTAATGTTTATGAATTTTAAAAGTGTGGAAATGCCATCTTTCCTCCAGCCTACCTGGGATCCTGTGCAGAAAAGACCTAACAGAGCAGACCTGAGACAGCTGTCTTTAGAAATATCTGCTTCCAAGGTTGGTCCTTGGCTAACATCTGAGAACCTGGGTTTTGGGAGGGGTCCCACCCGCTGAGCACCTGCTTTCCTTCTGGAATTTTGGCAGGTGTGAGGAAAAGTGTAGCTATGTGGCTAACTCCTGATAAAAACCCTGGACTCCCAAGCTCAGGGCAGCTTTCCTGATGGACATCTCACACCCGCTGTTACAGTTTGTTGCTGGAGAGTTAAGCGTGCCCTGTGCGACTCCACTGGGACAGGACTCTCGGAAGCGCACCTGGTTCCTTTGGACTTTGTCCCATGTGCCCTTTTCCTTTGCTGATTTTGCTTCGTATCAATTTAATAAATCGTAGCAATGAGTCTGACTAGATGTGAATCCCTTGAGTCCTCTTAGTGAATCCCCAAACCTGGGATGCTCTTGGAGACCCGACACAGGCGTCCGGCCCCTGAACAATATCAGATCCACATGGGCAGTCTCCAGTTGAAAAGTGTAGAAGACCAGGACACTCACCTTCTTTCATTTTCTCCTTGTACAACATCCCCTTCACCTGACCGCAGGTCACGGGAAGTATAGGAGGTTTAAAGTCCATATTTGTATCTCTGGGAATTCTTGGACCTGCAAGGAAGCATTATTATTTTTTCAGTCCATCTTCTTCTACAACTGGGCCCTCTCTCTCCTCACCCACCTTGGGATACTTCTTTTATAAATTAAAATAATGTATTGGAAGGAGTTTCCCATGAGCCAGGTCTTTCTTTTATAGCAGGTTAGACACATAGAGGTGTCTTCCTCCAATCCTGTTCTCTGAAATCCTACGTAACATCCTCGTGTGAAGGACTGAATTCCAGAGCTTGCTGGCCACAGCAGCCTGTGGCACAATGATTTTTCTTCTGTTAGTGCAGAAGATTGATGGCCGTATTATTGCTTTGAGTATGTGGGTGGAGAAGACCCCTCAACTTTTAGTTTTCTCTCCCCATCTGAGGCCCCCCTGGGGAAAAGAGAGCAGGATGGCCATGGGGCACCCAGCAGGAGCAGCGTCTACCCCTGTCCTTGCTCTTTGCCTTGTTTCACTTCTCCCTCCTGCGAACTTTTTCTGCGGCTTTTACCCTGTGACTCCCAGGGTGAAGTGCTCTAGAAGAAACTGGGGATTTCCCGGGAAGGGGGCCTCTGTCCACCCTTGGGGTGGGGCACTGGCCTGGTTCTGCCGAGGCAGGTGTTGAAAATCTTAAAATGAACTTCAGTAGCAGCGGCACCTGCTCCTGTCCTTCCGACCAACATTGAGGGGGATCCATGAAAGACATACACTGAGGCTACTGTCTGGGATGGGGAGAGTGGGCTGCCCTTGGTCCTTTCAGAGTCAGTTCTATTAGAGCTGGGTAGGGCCTGGGAGGCCACTCAGTTGAGTTCATCTGTCACTCACCCATTTACAGGGGGAAATTGAGGCAAAAAGAAGAAATGATAAGCAAAAATCACATAACCAAAGGAATTTTAGGAATTAGGACACACATCTTGTATTACCACCACCCAGGGTCCCGGTTGGTGGGCAACTGGTGGCTCTCAATGTGGTCAAGAGAAGGGTCAGCTAAATAGCATGCAAGTCACACACTTCACAGTGTTCTCCTCAAAAGTTATCAGTGCAGCAAAGGGAGTCCTGTACAGGCCCAAGGAGGCCTGAACTCTCCCACAGACCAACTGATGAACATCAATAAAGTAGGTATTATCAGCATCCTGTCATATTGTTGAAACTGACCAAGGCCACTGACTACCCTAACCTCTGTTACCAGCTCTATAAACCAATTAAGAAATTGATTAGCCCAGCCAGGTGTGGCTCAGCGGTTCAGCATCGACCTGGGATCCAGGTGACCGGGGTTCAATTCCCGGTCGGAGCACATGCCCGGGTTGCAGGCTAGCCGGTCAATAACTCTTTCATCATTGATGTTTCTATCTCTCTCTCTCCCTCTCTTTTCCTCTCTCTGAAATCAATAAAGATATATTTAAAAAAAAGAAAAAAAAAAGAAATTGATTGGTCACCCAACCGGCATGGCTCAGCGGTTGAGCATTGACCTGTGATCTAGGAGATGGCAGTTCGATTCCTGGTCAGGGCACATGCCCGGGTTGTGGGCTTGGTCCCCAGTCAGGGGTGTGCAGGAGGCAGCTGATCAATGACTCTCTCATCATTGATGTTTCTCTCTCTCTCTCCCTTCCTCTCTCTCTGAAATCAATAAAAATATTTTAAAAAATTCATTTGTCATTTAGAAAACAGTATAAAATAAAAATTTAGATGCTTAATTACTAAAAGTGTATTAATCACTTCTTTTTACCTCTTTTTCTGGATCTTTTCAAAGGCCCAGTGTTGCCAGCTTTTATCCCTAAGGAGGAAAAAGTAACATAAATGTCTTTGTTTGTAAAATTGCAAACAGTGGTATTGTAGAAAAACACCAGTCAAGTGAAAGCTCTTCAGGAGCCTGGCCAGTACTTCAATACAGATATTAAATGCCTGGATCAGGACTTAGAAACTTTTTCTGTAAAGGGCCAGATAGTAACTACTTAAGGTCCATGACCTCTGCTGTGATTACTCACCTCTGCTGTTGTACTGTGAAAGCATTCATAGGTACTACATAAATAAAAAGAGGTGGCTGTGGCTGTGTTCCAATAAAGCTTTATTTATAAAACAGTCAGTGGGCAGGATTTGCTCCATGGGCCACAGTTTGCTGAACCCAAGCCTATACTTAGTTACAAAGATGATGCTTAACTGAGGTTCACACTATATTTCTTTTACTATTATCTCCAAATTATTCCAAATAAATTTGAAACAGTGTTTTATGTATTTCCCAAGCAAGAGGGTGAGAAGAATAATGAAACTGGGCATCTGTTGAGTGATTATTATGTGTTAGGAGCCATCCTTAGACCTTGGCTCTATTAACTTACTTCATCCTTGAAACAAATCTATTAAATTGGAACTAAAACTATCTTCATTCAGTAGATGAGGAAATAAATGTGTACAGATAAAAATTAAAATTAAATAAGGTATTGGAGATGTCCTTTGTTAAAGACACAGATAAAAGGGAGTAGTACAAGGTCTCAAGGGTGGACCCCCTCGTGGACTCTACAGATCAGATAGCTGCCACAAACCTAAACTTGCAAGTACATTTTTATACCAAGAATGGTGGCGAAAATCAGCGAGAACTTCAAAACTAACTCAATGAAGGGGAACTTATAGAAACAGACGCCTGCATTCTAAAAGTTATAGGGGTAAAGATAACACAAAAGGTTGACAAAAAGATGTTTCATAAGATTGAAGTATACTCCTGACAATAACCAGAGTCTGTTCATCAGCAGCTACTAACGGCAAACATACATTCTCTCGCTCTTAGTGTCTCTGTTTAAATCCTTCTGGGTTTAGTGGAGGAGCTAGACTCCCCTTTCATTAAAATCTTCAGGTTTGTAGACCACTTCAGGGCAAACAAACAGAAGCTCAGTGTTCTCTAGCCCAGTTTTCAGCATGAAGAAATTTGGGCTGAACACCAAATCATATGTGTCAAAGTGCTGATGAGCTTTGCTTTACAATGGTTCCTGGTGTGTTGGCATGTTCCAGCACCTTGTTGTTACCTTACATCCATGAAGTAAGATGCCTGGAAAAGTAGGATTTAACTGTTCTTGGGTCTATCATCTTAATAACACAAAAAACCCCACATTAACCCTTATAAATAATAATGTGGTCAGAAAAATTAAAGTCAATTTAAAAATAATTGTCTTAATAGTTGGGGCTAATCATTATGGGCAAAAAAGTATATCAGGGTATTTAGGTGACTTTTTGATTTCCTCAGAGTGGTAGCAGAAGCATTAACATCCAAGAACAAGACAACAGGAGCCTAGTACCCATAAAGCAAGATGCTAGTCTAGTCCTGCTGCACAGAACATGGGAGGGGATGGTGAGGCTGGTTCTGCCTTCCCTACCATCAGGCCCCGAGAAGCTACATTTCTTTGGAGAGAACTGTCAGACACCTCTCCTTAATCCAAGAGAGAAGGTGTTAAAGGACCCACACAGAAGATGGACCTCTGTCCTTGGGGATGTCAAAGAAGGAGAGACTCTTAGACTCATCCCTAAGAAATGTAAAGGTGAAGGTCATAGCTAGAGCATGGTGCAGTGGAGGAAAGGCTGAGCTGGGAGCCAGTAAGGGAATCAATAAAGAAGCATGATTTCCATGGCCTGATGGGGCCCTGTTTGGATGGGACCAGAACTGGGTGTTCTTGAGAGATACTCTGCCCAAGAGAACCACCTTGAGTGATGAGGTAACTACAGCAAGGTGCAGACCTTCCAGAAGGACTGTCCAATGTCTGAATTCCTAAGCAAGTTGGCCACCATTCAACTACTGAGAGTTGGTAACATATATTGAGTCTGCTATACTAGTAGAGAAGTAGAGAATTTCCAGCGAAACTTCCTCCCCCTTCCCCAGTTTTGTGCCCAGAAAAAGAATTTTAGACTGTAATTTGTCTATAATTTGACAAATCTGTCTGTAGATTTGGGCCGGGGGAAGCAGGATCATGATCAGGCAGCCCAACAGGAGGCAGTGCCTGTCTTATCTGCTTCCTCAGTCCCTCTTCACATCAGCTTTCTTCTGGCTGAAATGGAAGCTCAGTGGAGTTCTAGAGTCATCTGCAAATTGCACAGGGAGGAGGCTTTGAACTTTAGAGCCTCTGCAAAGTGGGGGTGAGGTGGAGTAAATAACTGAGAATCTGACTCCATAGTAACTGATGTAGAAATCTTAAAATGAACTTCAGGATGATCGTATCCAAAGACACCTCTTGGGCTCCCTGCTCAGGATGCAGAAGCAGGAGCTGTCCATGGTGCAGTGGGGGATCCGCAGTATGTTGAAGCTGTATATGAAACCGGGATGAGCCTTGGAGGGCAGTCAGTCTATTTATTATTATTTATTATCTCATTTCATTTTATTTTACATATGAGTAACCTGGGGCAGAAAAAGAGAAGCAACAGACCCAGGTCCACACAATTACCTCAGGGTGGTGGGACATGAGGCAAGACAGCTACATTACTTGTGAGTTACAGTGTTTCATGGCTACAGTTGGCCCTTGACCATCTCGGGGATTAGGGGTGAAGACTTCCACCCAGTTGAAAATCTAGGTTTAAGTTTCAACTCTACAGCTGGCCCTTCACACAGGCAGATACAACCAATGGCAAATAGAAAGGAGTATTTTCCATCTGCAGTTGGGAATGAAAACATTTTCTTCAATCTGCATTTGGTTGAATCCCCAGATGTGAAACGTGAAAAAAATTCGTGTATAAATGGACAGGCACAGCTCAAACTTGTGTTGTTCATGGTTCAGCTGTATTTCCAGCCCAAAAGTTATCAGTTCAGTAGAGGCAGCCCTGCAGTGGCCCCCCTGGGCCCTGGGTTCTGGTTGTAGATTCATCACCAAGTTACTTGTTTGCAGTGTTATCATCTTTCAATCCCTGACGCATTTTGGAATTGACTAAATCTGATATATTTCTCAACAGTTAGTACAGTTACATCAAGCAACTAGGGAAATAGGTTTGTTACTGAAAGCAAAGAATAAAGCATGAGAATCGAGGTGTTTAGTTATTGAAAATGTATCCATCTTTTAAAACCTTACCTTTTGAATTGTTTCTTTTCCATGGGACTTTGTTATTCAGAGACTGGATTCTATGTCTGCCTCTGTTTCTCACTGAAAAAAACAACAAACAAACAAACAAAAAAAGAAACAGATGCTGTGAAAAGTTGCATTGCATATAATAGTGCTTTCAAATAATTCCATTTTACTGTAACTTTTCAAAAGCCTAACACATAAAGAAAAATACATAACCCATAGCCTTATACTTACCAAGTCTTAGATGTTTGACCTGGGTTCATCTTAGATTTCTTTTTCTTTTAGCCTCACATTAATCTTAATTCATTTATACCCATATTAATTGAAAAAAAGAACTTAAGACAGAGTTTCATTTGTATCTCAAGGAACACTGAGAATAACAATAATAACAGCTAACATTTGATAAGTGCTTATTACATGGTAGACATAAATATAAGGCCCTTACATATACTAATCTTTTTATGAGAGTTTAATTACCCCCCCGGAAGTAAAGTGGCTGTTCTTTAGTTCCCTGTTCAAAAACTATCAACACCACAGACTTTCTGTAGAAGCTGAGTAAGGTGTTCCCTCAACCCTCAAGGCAAATAAGAAGACTTCAACCTCAAAGTAATTGATCTGAGATTCCAGGAATTTGAAGGAGGCAGAGAATTTTAAAAACTCAACCTGGAAAGTCTAGAGAGGATGAGTATGTTGGGAGCTAGCTACTTGCTCACTGACAGTAGGACCATAAAGAGGCATGATTCTCATGGGCCTCTCTGGGGAAGGGAGGAGCTCCATTAGTTCTTCTTAAGAGATGCTGCTTCTAGGAGAACCATTTAGATGAATGAGGTGTGAACCTCCTTAAAGCTGGGAGACTAAGAGGGAAGTGGTAAGCAGTCAGTGGAGTTCTTGCATTAGGAGAAATACATTTGAGAAATTCTCAAGAAAGAGGTCTCTTAAGAACGCTCAAATGTGGCTCATGCAGCCACCATATCTGGGAGACATAAAGAATGTCATAAGAGGACCATTTCTGTTCCTTACCACTTCCTTCTCTCCTTCCTCCCTAAACTTGACTTAGCTAAAAGCAATAGATACTGATTGCAATTAGAGAAGAAATGTGGATGAGAGAAGAGGTTCGCCCCATCCAGCTTCCTTACTACATATTTTCCAGTTTTAACATATCGGCTCAGGCTTTTTAATGCCGAATGAGAATATATCACTGCTGCTGAAAGACACTGGCACAGCTCTGGGGCTTATCTAAGACTTCAGCCTGGGGCAGGAAAAATTATTTGAGAGAATATGTTTTAAAAGGAAGCAGGAGAAAAAGCAAATGTGGCTTGTATTTAGACTACCAATTCCAACTGTTTTACTAAAGCAGGTAAGATAAAGAGGTTTCACAAAAACTCAGAGGAAAAAAATCTTAGACCTGGGTAAGTATAACCTGGGAAGTAACTAAGATGATAAAGATAAGCATGGAGATAAAATGATAGAGATGCTAGAAATATATGCATATATTTATTTGCATTATATTTGAATGTTTATATTCATACTATTTACACACACACACACACACATACACACAAATCAAGGTGACAGAAATACTCAGGTGAATGGGTAGGTTCTTCCTACCACATCTGGAGTGTTTGATGAAAGAGAAACAAATTATGTGATTTAAGCCATGGGGGTCTCTTTGTTACAACAAAGATTCAGGCTGTATGCTAAATAATCCATTAGTTATGAAGCCCATAGGAGATTTCGGGGCTGTGGCAAAGACAGGGTCTGGCAGGAAGACCAGGTCTGCAATAAGCTCACAGGTGTGAATCCTCACATTTGTTCTTACCTCTTTGGAGACTATTTATTTTATTGATGTGTTGTACCTTTTCTCCTTGAAACAGAAAAGAAAATAATCACTTAGAATTATAAACAGAGATTTACAAGCTTTATATATGTCAGTAACCTTCAAGTGTTTTATTTTTGCCTTCATTCAACTTTTGTGCTGTCTTGGTTGTCATCACACTGAAAACAATAATAGCAACAAAAACAACCTATCTGTACACAGCACCAGTCATTTACAGTATGCTTTTACATAGTCACATGTGGTTCTCTCATTCATGATAAAGAAAACGTAAAAAGCACCTGAAATCAGGCAGAAGCTTACAGCAAATTAGGGGGAGTGTCAAGGAGATCAAGGAACCATTGATCTCAGACATCACCAGCAAGGTGTAATTCAGAGACTTGCCTTGAAAGCTAGCAGAGGTTGATTCATGAGGTTTAAGAAAAGAATCCATCTCCATAACATACAAGTGCAAGGTGGAGTAGCAAGTGCTGATGTAGAAGCTGTAGGAAGTTATCCAGAAGATCTAGCTAAGATCTAGTTTAATAATTAATAAGACACTAAACAGCAGATTTTCAATGTAGAAAAAACAGCCCTATATTGAAAGAAGATTCCATGTAGGACTTCCATAGCTAGAAAAGAGAAGTAGTGCCTGGCTTCAAAGCTTCAAAGGATAGGCTGACTCTCCTGCGAGGGACTAATGCAGCTGTGACTTTAAGCTGAAGCCAGTGCTCATTTACCATCCTGAAAATAGCAAGGCCCTTAAGAATTATGCTAAATATACTCTGCCTGTGCTCTCTAAATGCAACAACATAGCTCGGATGGTAGCACATCTGTTTAAAACATGGTTTACTGAATACTCTAAGCCCACTGTTGAGGCCTAGTGCTCAGAAAACAAAGACTCCTTTTAAAGATTTAAATGAGAAATAAAATGAGTGTGTCCTGGTCTACTATTCCCAAAAGCAGATGTTGAGATAAGAGTTTGTGTTTAATAAATTTATTTTGAAACTACCTCAAGGATTAAACTTTTCACAAACCGATAGAATTAATATATTCATTTAAATTACTCATCCAACACATTCTTGGATGCATCAATATGCAAAAGTAACTATTTCTGATGCAGAGTTTCTGTTATTGGCCACACAGCATCAGGAAGGAATTTCTGGGATGTTAGTACCTTTCACCTGGGGTGAGGACAGCTGGAGGAGAAAAGCACCCTAAACAGGAAGGGTACAACTCTAACCCGGTAAAATTAGCTCTTCTCTGTTGCATCATGGTGGAAAATACAGAGGTTCCTACCTTGCATTTAGCCCCTGTGGTTGCTAGATTGTGAGGCTGTGTCAATAAGTATCTGTGCCACTGGGAACCGTGTTGTGACCATACCCAGGGCTATGTTAAAAATGGATCCTTGACTCTTTGCCTCTGGGTAGAACTTAAAGCTTGAAAAAAAAAAGAAAACTTGAAAAAAAAAAATAAAACTCTGGGTTTACCACCTTATTCTGCGGAAGTTGGGGTCACTGTGAGTTGTCCTGCCATGTCCTATAAACTGAGCTATGGGGATTTTGTTTGCATAAGTTGACAGGATTCTACTCAGTCTTTAGCTTGAGTGAAAGCTTGGCCAAAATCTTTCATAATCTTGACCTTTATGCTGAAGCCTTCCACACCCCCATTTGGGGGATACAACCCCTTTCCCCACAAATCTTGTTTTTCCTTTCATTTTGCCAAATTTCCTGTGCTACTCTGTTAATGATTGACAATTGTGAAGTCTGTTTGTATATCTTCACCCAAAATGTGTACACTGAAGGAAGACTGAGTTTTAGCAGTCATTAGTATAAATGTGGTTTGACTTACAAGGAAAGAAGTTGTGGAAGGCTTGGGAGTATGAAATGTAGCAGTAAGAGCAGTAAGAAAGGGAGTGTGACGAAGCCTACAAGGATGAGGTCTGGTAGACAGAAAGCATAAAAAGAAGAGTCATTGGCCCAGGCCAATGTGGCTCAGTGGTTAGAGCATCGGCCCGGAAGCGTCACGGGTTCCATTCTTGGTCCAGGGCACGTACCTGGGTTGTGGGTTCACTCCCTGTTCCTGGTTGGGGCTCGTGTGGGAGGCAAGCAGTCGATGTGGCTCTCCTCTCACATCAATGTTTTTCTCTCTCTTTCTCTCTCTCCCTCCCTCCCTCCCTCCCTCTCTTTCTTTCTCTCTCTCTGAAATAGGAATGAAAAAAATTTCCTCAGCTGAGGATTAACAACAAAAAATCATCAGTATTTGAAGATAAAAGGAAAAAAATGTGGAAATGTGGAAAATATTTTAGTGAAGCTGGGAATAATGATTATCCTATACGTAGTAATGCTTACAAAATATTATATAAGATGTAGTCTTTAAAAACAAGGTATAATAAGCATCCTCACCCAAATACTGAAAAAAATCTTTCACACTATGTACTTAGGAAAGAAATCTGAAAATAAAAAGATACGAGATCTCAAGCTGATTCCAATTTAAGCAACAAGGTGGGAGGCTATAGTAAAAATATCTGTATACATCCTATATTACTGTTTTAGGTAAAATCCTTTCCAGGCCCTTCTCTATTTCTACCAACAAAACAGAACTCTATGGGCCTGTGTTTCTTATAAGGTTAACTGATGAAATTCCAGAGACCAGGTTTAAAAAATGTAAGTGTTCACAACAGGAAGCACTGCCATTCTATGACAGAGAATTCTATGAAGAAGTAAAACAAATGACCAAACCAAATGAAAAAATGTTCAGCCACACTACAAATGAAAACAGTGCATGTTAAAACACCCTTAAACAAGATTTTTTATAGCTCTTAAAAATGTTAAATGTTTTTATTGTCTAGGTGTGGCACGTTAATTTTAAAAAGCAAGAAAAGAAAAAGTATGCATAGAATTAACCTATTTAGATAAATAAAACTATATTCCAAAATGTACTAATACATGATAGAAAAATTCTGGAAAGACATACACCAATGTTTATAAACCACATATGCTTCAAAATCAGAAAAAAAACCAACATGAAGATATGAGCATTTTGAAAAAAATATAGTTACTTTAAAAGGCTTCCCCCCCCCAAGAAAGGTATAGAAAATAATGATGATAAACATTAGCGTTAAAAAATAGTTAATTTTTAACATAAAAATCAAGAAAGTTCTTATCGACTCTTACTTCTTTTTCCACTGTGTTTTTCCACAGTAGATCTGCTTCCAGTGTCCGTGGCACCTAGAAAGTAACAGGTGATGGTCAGTGAACTGTAATTTATAAATAAAACTTACAAATCTAAAAAAAATTCCAAATCTTATGACAATTCACATTGTGGAAGGCTTGAGTTTATAACGATGTCTGAGTATCTAAATAAATCAAACATACAAACTGATATCTAAAGTCTTGATTTCTCTGAGGCTTTGAAAAAACACTTCATTACTTATATGCATCAGTTTCTTCATTTATTAAATGGGAGGTAGCAAAAGTTACTCTGTTCAGGCTTTAGATTTCTTAATGAAGATTAAATATAATCTTATTTGCAAAAGTTGATGAGAAATCACTGTATAAAAATGCTGGCGGGCAGCCTTCAAAACTATATGTTGAGTTTAAGAATAGTTATCTGAGGTCTTTTTCCTGACAAGTAGCAGGACCATTTATTTATTTGTCTTTTGAGGACTTTTCAAGGTTGTGACAAAGAGACACTATTATCTATCAACAGAAGAACACTTGGATTTCTTTGCTCCATGCACAAGGAAATAACTATATAAATCCAACACTTTGGTATTGATACACTAGTATAGTACACAAGGTACTGTTTTTTTTTTAATCAGTGTATTTCTACTATATCATCCACGTAAAATCAACAGGACTCATTCTGTTAAACACGACTGTGGTCATGATCTGCTTCTCTGCTATTCCCCAAAGGGTCAAGTCATGCAAATGTAGAGCGCAAGATTGAGACGTGGACTCGACCCTTCCTCATCAGAGTGTCCTCAGAGTCCAGTGCGGCAGGAGAGAGGAACGCTGATTTCAGACCCCCGACATCCTGCGGCCCCAGTCCTGACTCTCACCTTCACAACTGACCTGCTCCCTGCTGGTGAGCTGCCTCATGTTGTCCTTGAGTCCTGATCACCTGCCTCTGACATACCAAGGTCTGTGGTATCTGCTGAATCACCTCCCCCCCAAGACCCTTGGGTGGCCTTACCCATCGTGTCAGATGCTTGGCTACTTTCCGTCCCTGCCTCTTGGCCTCTTGGAACATCCTTTGATGAACACATGACGCAGGAACACTTCTTATTTCCAAGTCCTTGGAGCTCTGCTCCTATGTTATGGTTTGTAAAATATTTTAATTTGTAATTTGAATTTGTGCCTCCTGCCCTCCAACCATCCTTTTTTCCCCCCTAAATCAAAGGATATTTCTACCTGGAAATCTCTTTGACTATTGCTGATCCTCATTGTCTCTGTCCTTTCATTTCAATCTGTTTTCCCCCTCTATTTTCTTTTTCTCTTGGCCCCATATTTGCATCTTTGGTTTCCTATTTTTTCTTTAGATTTTTCTCTCATCCATTCCTTAATGACATTTTTTACAAATTTTTGTATATATTTTTAGGTGATGTTATTCTTTTTCAGGAATGCTGTTACATTTATACGTCTACACATATGTATATATAATTAAATTATTAAAATAATTTTTGTAAGCATTTCATATAAATACTCTAATAAATTAACTTTTGCCAGACAAATTTCCAAATGTTGGAGTAGAGAGTGAACAGTTCTTTCCATTCGCTCAACCCATTTGTTAGGCTTTCTCACGTGCCAGGTGCTGAGATGGGCACTGATAACATCAAGGGCATAAGACTACGGAAGCGTCAGTCTTGTCAACCTCAAGGGCAACCGTGACACTGGCACATAAAGAAGTGAATATACTGAAAGTTGAAGAGTGTTAGAGCACATCGCCGCACAGAGTGCTCTGGAGGGTGGGGCGTAAGGCAGGAAGAACTTGGTCTGAGATGAGGGACCCCTCCCAGAGGATGTGTCGTGGAAGCAGGAGTTAGCCAGATTATGGAAGGACGGGACCAAGACCGTAGCCCCAAGCGGATGGAAAGCTTGCGCAAAGGTCTACATTCAGAAAATGCAAGCAACCAAGAGGAGTTAGTACGTCTGAACCCGGAGCAGGAAAGTTAGTGGCAACGATGACAATGAAGAGGAAGGAGCCTTGGCCTAGGTAGCTTTGGGGGCCACACGAAGGAGAATGAACTTAACCCGAAAGGAAAGGAAAGGACAGTGGATTTTATGAGGGATAGCAGCATGGACATATTTGCATTTTTTTTTTTTTTTTTAATTCTCACTTGAGGATATTTTTTCCATTGCTTTTCAGAGAGAGTGGAAGGGAGAGAGAAACGTCAACATGACAGAGGCACATCGATTGGGTGCCTCCCGCACACGCCCTGACCCGGGCAGGCGACCGAGCCTGCGACTGAGGTACGTGCCCTTGGCCAGGTTGAAGCCGGGACCCTTCTGTCTGCAGGCCGACGCTCTAACCACTGAGCAGCCGGCCAGGGCCATATTTGCATTTTTGAAAGACCGGTTCAGCTAAATCGCTTAGAATACATTTGGTGGGAACACGATTAGAAGCAGAGGGACAAGCAGGAGCCTGCTGCTCTAGTTCCAGTGAGAAGTGACAGAGGCGTTGGTGAGGGTGATAGCACCGGGGAGGCGGGTGCATGGACAGGCCGGGGGCATTTTAAAGGAAGAATCGATAGAGTCAGGTAACCGGGGGCTACGCTGATTAAGGAGATGACTGTCGGCGGTGACTGAGAATACGGACTTGAAAGGATGGGTCAATTGACAGTGAGTTTTAGAGCTGAGAGACGCTGGGAACAGATGCTGGTTTTAGGGAAAACGTGATGTGCCCAGTTTTGGAAGGTTGAGTTTCAAATCGAAAGACATCTGAGTGGAGACGGCTCAGGCCTTCAGGACCCTGCCCACAGGTCTTCCTGACAGTCGGATGGGTGAGTTGAGAAGTTAAGAAGACAGGGCTGGGCGGCAGATGTATGTTTGGGAGCCATTCGTTTGCGGGTGGTGACTGAAGCCGTAAGAGTGGGTGAAATGCCTGGTGACATGCCTGGTGACGTCTCTAGTAATCTGGGCGAGTCACAGAGGCCGCTTTGACACCTGGGGACACCTTACCCTGAAACCCACTGCTGGTGTGAGCCACCCCTTGTGCAGACACGGCTTTCGTCTCACGTCATCTCAGACCCCCGTTTCCCACCTGGCCCTCCTCTCCCTTTCCCACCACCCCTTCTCTCTGCCAAGTTTCCCTCCTATTTTCCTCGTCTCTGCGCAGTTCCTCCTGCGCCTCAGATCGCCCTGTACGCATCTCACTCTCGCCTCTTTTCTCGGGCTTCTCCCTCCGGATCTGGTTTTATTACTGGAGTGGTCCTCTTCCCGCTGCCACCTCCCTTCTGTTTTCCTTTGTTTCTTTGCTTCCTCCCCTCAATCTTATCTTGTTTTTTTTGGCGCTTTTTACAACGGCAATCTTTATCTTTACATTTTCATCTCCGTTCCGCTTAGCCTTAGAGATTCCTGCTTTCACCGTCGCCCCGGGCCTGCTCTCCGCCAGGGACCTCACTGCTGGCCGCTGCTTCTTCCGCCAGCTCCCTCCGAGCTCTCTACATGGCAAGTCTGTCCGTCAGTCACGGGCTTTGTCACCGTATTTCTGGTAAGCTCCCGAGATGTACCTGGAAAGTCTTCCCTCTTCCCCCACAAAGCCCCCGTCTGGTGACAGCTGGGTTCCATGCCCACTTAGAAACGCCTGAAACTCAGACACCTTTCGTTTGCCGACCCCAGCCTGCCTCTCCCACCCTTTCCCTCACATTATCCGCTCAGTGCCCCCTCCACCCAGGAGCCCTGCTCTCCCTTCTCTGCGGCCCCTCCGACCCAGCGGGCGGGGGGGCCTAGGCCGGGCCACGGCCGCCTGCAGATGAGCGCGTGTTCATTTGCACGCGCGTGTGCGCAATGTTTGGGGGAGAGGCGGGGGAAAAGAGGGAAGAGCTTTTCCTCTGTGCAGAAGGGAATCAAAGATAACTGACAAGCAGTGTCACAACTGGCTTCTCCGCCACACTCTAAGGCTGGCATCTCTTCTGACTCGCTTCCTCTAGTCATTTGAAGAGCTTTGAATCCACGGGACACTGAAGGGAAGTAAGAAAATGACACACAGTACATGGTGACCAGGAACGCGCTTCAATGCGGTCGCGCTGAAGTGGGTTCCCAGCTCAGGTGAATGAGGGGCACACCTGCGCCTCGACACACAGCAGGTGACTGTCCCTTTGTTTCTAATCTAGCTGTACCCCCGCTCCCTCACTTCTCTGTTTTAAGCTCATTGGTCTGCCTTACACGATTCTATCTCCATCGCGGAGATTCTGCGAGCTCCTCTCCTCTGTCTTCAGTTTCTGTTTCTCTCTTTTTAAATCAATGATGCTGTTAGTCTCTGTTTATTTTTATTTCTCTGTCCATTTTTTTTAGCTTTTATTATTCTAGGTGTTTTGTATGCCATATAGCTGGCTCTATTCCTACCTCTTGGTTTCTTTATGATTTTCATATTTCCTTCTCCATCAATATATATGTATATATTAATATATTAATATCCACACCAATATAGGTGTTTATACATCTACCAATGTATCACGTGTCTATATATATATATATACACACATATATATATGTTTATTGTTATTGTTAAATAAGTTGTCTTTTATCAGGCACTGATATATTCCCCTATGAGTATGACAGGCCCCTTGCGCCTCCTCTTTGGCCTTTGGTCATCTGACACAGCTCTTATCTTCCTGCCTACAACCTTCCTTCCTACATACAACACTCACCCTTTGTGACCCTTATAAATTTGTACATCAATTTCCTCACCCCAAAACGGAGATAGCAAGAATTACCCTGCCTAAGTCTTAAGGATTTTGTGATGACAAAGTAAAGCCTTATTTGCCAAAGTACTTTAAAATAGCATGATATAATCCAGTTACAATGTAATGGAAATCTGTCAAAAACTATACTAACGTTTGAGAGTGGTTGATCTGAAGCTTTTATTTCTGTCTATAATTACATAGCGGGACCAGTTCTCTTTTACCATTACAAGCAACATGAATGTGGACCAATATAAATCTAAGATCTCTGTTAGTGGGCGCCACAGCAGGTATTTAAAAAAATATTATCATTTTGCTATTTATTTCTTCTAAAAGAGCAATGGGTAATTATATACATTTAGTCAATAGGGCTCATCCTGTTAAACATGAGTTTATAATAATTTCCTGCCTCCTTCCATTTTCTAAAGTGCTGAAAGGCGTTCCCAGGATTAACTGGGTATAAGGTCTTCAAGGTGCTCAGAATAAAATGCATCTGGAAACAGTAGCTTTTAATTCAGATTCCTGACATTCGCAGGCCAAGGCTCGGCATCTTAATCTTCTTTACCTGACCCATTTCTTAGGGCTGAACTAGACGTTTCCTGAGGCTCTTCTCCGTTACTCGATTCTGAAGAGTCACCAATGACTAGCCCTGTGGAAAGAAGTAAAATTCAGTAACAGCCTCAGTCTGCGTCCTAGGAGCCAATCCAGCACGGACTCTCCAAAAGGAAAATTGGAAAAGGGAAGCTCGTGTAGGAGGGGTAGGGACGCTCCTACTGCCAGGCCACCCGGTGGCTCCATCTGACCCGTTGGTCAAGGTTGCTCCAGGAACCATCCCCAAGGACAGGGGACAACTATGCCATGGAAAGCACTCCCTTCTGTCACCATTTCTTACACTTCTTAACCTTCCCCTTGTCTCTGTTTCTTATGCAGGGACACCATGGAAGCAACATTTTCTAGAAGTGGGAGCCCCCATCAGCTGGGTCCTCAATGATCGTGTGCAACAGAGCAGCCCTCCACCCCTGAACCACTTTATCCTTTGTTTGAGTGGAGAGTAAACTTGCATTGCTCTTGTGCCATTGACCTTTTATACCAATTAGCCCAGCTCATCCAATATAAAATATATCATGCGTATCATTTAAAATCCCAACAAATTCCTTTTTTTAAATTTAAAAGATATAACCAAAAAAATGACTGAAGCTTTTATAGCAAAAAAAGCTGTTACATCAAGAGTTTTAATTGTTCTTACGTAGTTTCACATTTCTCATCTTCAAAGTAGGTTGTTTTCCAATATCTGAAGAACCTAGGATATAAAGGAAAACACAACTAGTAATCTATAATGAAAAGAGTTAGATCTTATGACTCCTCACATTGTAGAAGGATTTGGAACATAAAGACGTGATGATGATCATTTTTGTCTCTTCCCATCTGCAGGAAAGAGATCTCTACCAAATGAGGCAAAGGCCCACAACCTTTTAGCCCATGTGCAAAATCAAAGACGTTTTGAAAACCAGTATTTTTTCATAGGTTTGCAGCTAACTAATTTGGCAGTGAATCTGGACTTAGCTGCCATGAGTCTATGTAAACTCTCTTTATCACACGTGTGATTTCCCCTCATTGTGAAGCTATTTCAAAGTATCACTGTATAGGCCAATGTCATATTGGGGTCATCTGACAAAAGTTATAAATTCCCATTGATGGTAATAACCAGAAGCTGCTTCTTCCGTCAATAATTAGAGAGTATGACCAGAGTCTATTGAGGTTTGAAAAGGTTTGTGACAAAACTGACCAACAGCTTTCTGTCCCAGTTTCTCTGCTCTGTGCAGAGCAGGTGGTGAGTAGGGGACATCACTATGTGGTTCACCGCACTGGAGGGCAGGGCGTCCGCGAACACGGAGTAAGACCCACTGCCGGCCAACTAGAGCCATCCTGTTCAGCCTGAATTATAACGTTTCCTTTCTTTGCAGTGTTGCAAGCGGCCGCGTGAGATCAAGGCAGGAATGGGCTCCCGGCCATGGCGTGTGCTCAGGGAGGCAGGAGCTCTGAGCTCAGACTCCTGATGTCCTGGAGCCCAGCGATGGCACCTCACCCTGCTCATCAGGACCACGTCTCACTGTACAGCTCCCGGCCCTGGGGGGCACCTCGTCTGCACTGGACTCGGAAGACCCTTCACGACTTCTCCCTGCAGAAGGAGCAGATGGCCCTTGGAGAGCTCCGTGTGTGAAAAGGAACCCAGAGAGGAGAGTGGGGAAGCTCTGAAAGCCCAGGGCTAGAACGTGCCTCCCTCAGACCTCCTTCAGCTGCCTTGCCTTGTCACATGACCCGAAGGCCAGCCTTTTATCCCTCCTGTCCCCTGAGCCTGGGGCTGAGATATTTCACCCCCGGCACCTCGGCTTCCTCTTGGCCCAGTTTTCTTATCCCAGATTCTCTTTCTCCTTTTACTTGTCCCTTTATGGATCTGTTCTTGTTTTTGGATCTGTATTTGCTTTTATATCTATCTCTGCTCCCCTCCCAGGGCTGTCTTGGAAATGTGGTATTGAAGAAGGCAGATCTCCCTGCCACTTGGCTGCTTCCCAGAATGACTGGGAAACAGAGCCCCTCCCTCCGGCATCTAATACGTCCAGGAATGTTTACTTGAGAAAAAAAATTCCAATTCTATTGTGTTTGAGTCTCTGACTTCTTTGTGTGTATATGTTACAACCACTAGCCTAACTCATAGAAAAGTCAAAATCCAAACAGGCTAAAATGAAAGCAAATTTATATTTTACTTTGAAGGACATAAAAAAAAGTTAGAATGAATATTTTGTAGAAAACCCTGTCCATTTATAACTATGAAGAAATCTTATTTACTCTTACCAGTTTTCCAAAGTCTTTTCCTGCAAGGAGGTGATTCTCTCAAATCCACGGCCTCTGTAAAGTAGGAGGGAAGAGAGAGCTATTCATACACAAAGGCCTTACAGATTCTATGAGCAGTCATGCGGCCAGGCGATAGGGTTTGCGATCGTGCTGATGTTGAGATGATCAGTTTCCTCTCTTTCAGTAGAACCCAGTTCCGGTGCCCAGGGTCATAATGCTGGGCTCCTGCCTGGATCTCCCTTCTACTCTCCACATGAATTTGTAACCGACTCTTAAACTTGACCACCTCCAGGGTCCTCCACTATAATGCTGGGGTAGCCTAGTTACTCCATCTCCCTGTTAAGGTTTTTGTGAAACAAAATGAACATTTATTCACAAAAGCCCTGTGCAAAATCACAATGTAAGCCCATGATTTAATTATCGTTTGGGTTTGAGAGTAGTTGGGCTGAAGCTATTTCTTAGTCAATAATTAAATAGCAGCACAAATTATTCTTTCAAGACTTTCTAAGTTGGGGACTAATGACAATATTGTCAACGAATACAGAAATACTGTGCTAACTGTGCTCTGTAGAATATAAAGCATGTTGGTAGAGACTAAGTATATTATTTAAATTCTGTAGCATTAATAGATATGATCTTGTATAGTAAAAAAGACTGTCATTTACTAGTGTATTATTGCTACATTTTCAATATAGCAGTTGACTGGGCTCATCCAGTTAAACAACCATTTATAAGGCCTTTTCGCTCTCTTTCATATTCCAATAGGGTCAAAGAAGTTAAATGCGGAAAATGGTGTCCTAGAAGTAGCAGAATCACTGCATGTAGAGAAAGTCAGAATAAGACACATCAGGAAACGGGGCTCTGGGTTTAGACTCTGCGTGTTTCTTGTCTAGGAATGCAATCCCAATAGTCTTACGTGATGCAGTCTTGGGGGCTGAGTAGGTGACTTCTCGGATCTCTCCCCTCTTGTTTGATTCTAAGGAGTAAAGGTTATTGATCAGTGCAAAAAGGAATAGGAGTTATTAGGCGTCTCACTGCGACCAAGGAACCGAATCAGCAGAAATTTCCTAATACAACTTGGAAAATCTTGAAAACCCATGTATACCATGGCCTGCACATGGGCCACCTGGTCTGTCGTTCTAAGTCACCTGCCTTGTAGGTTAGTGATGCTCTATTCCCTGTCCCAAGAGCAGAGACAAGTCCCTGGCAAGGGGCCCCTCCACTCTGTTGGAACATTGCCTTCCTGTACTTCTCTCTCTTCCACCTCTTACCCCTTCTGTAGTCACGTCACCCTTCCTTCATCTGCTGTTTCTTTGTGGGGAGACCTTGGACATCTGTGTCGAAGGCAGAGAGCCTCCTGTGCACCCCGGCGCACCTGGAACTGTTTACAACGCTGGGAAATTACCTTCTCTTGTGTCTGAGACATAGGCCTGTATGGGGACCACCTTTAGAGCAGTTTGCCTACACTAACACGTAAGTTAGAACACGCATTCCCTGAACACTGAAGTAAATTTATGTTTTACTTTGATAGGTCTAGTGAGCAACTGAATGAACATTTTATTTGAAATACTGATCTTTTGTAGTATTAAGACCAGGTAACATTTTTATTTGTTCTCGGGCTTTTCCTAGTGTATTTTCCGAAAGAGGCCTCTTTCCAGTGTCCTTTGAGAAAGGAGGAAAGGAAAGCCCATGAGCAGTCTGTGCACTAAAGTGCTGCAGAGTTTATGACCGCTCATGCTGCCCATAGGATTAGGGAAACAGCATTTTGATAACCATTTCAACCTCCAGTTTTACAGAGGAAATAGCACAGAGTCCAGGCCAGTAGCCGTGCCTTTCCCTGTATCTCCACGAGCCTTTTCGGGAGACCCTGAAATGTTTACTTGGCTGTTTCCTCACCTAGAAACAAGGCCNTCTGAAACGTTTACGTGGCTGTTTCCTCACCTAGAAACAGGGCCAATGATGTCCGTCCTGCTTACTCCTCAGGGCTGTTGTTAAGGAAACAGTAAGACACTATTTGCAAAGGTCCTTTGAAAAGTCACTCTATGTGTCACAACTTGCTGAAGAACTCTGTCCAAAACAACACTTTGGGTTTCAAAATACCTTCTCCATTTCTGCTGACACTAGAGAGGTGGAGGAATGGACCCTTGACACTATTCAAAGTTTGTGATCAGATGGGAACATGACCTTCCAATCAAGAGATATTTNTAGGTGGGGACATGACCTTCCAATCAAGGGATATTAGGTATCTGTTCTCTATAGAAATTACTGTAGAAACCCAACACTTTATAGGCATAGCAACTAGTGAGTTTTAAAACAAACTCATCACGTTGCTAGCTTATTTCTACTATACAGTCAATATAGGGTACATATGTTGACTAATAGGAACCATCAATAGATGTCATCCTCAAAAATAGGCATGTTTATTTAATAATTACATAAATAATAATTTCTTATCTTCCTGCATTTCTCAAAGAGGTCAAGGTAAAATAAATGCAGAGAATGGGATTCCAGGATATACTGGATCCATGGTACAGATGGAACTCAGAATTGACATCTTGGGAAACAGTAGCTCTTAATTCAGATTCCTGCAGCCCAAGCCTTGAGCTCCTACTGCCTTACCAGCCTTCCTTCTTTGTTCCCTGGTGAAGGCTTTGGGGCGGTCGTCTCCATCACTGGAGTCCTCACTGCTGATCACTGTGCAGAGGAGAAAAAGCCCTTAGTGTCTCAGGGCGGGGCCAAGGAGCCCCCAGACAGGAGACCCCCTCATGAGAGCTCTAGGAAGACCTGGAAGCTAAGCTAACTCAGGTCCCCCTGGTCTGTGCCCGATGTGTGTGACCTGCAGGTTGCTCCAGGTCCTATCCAGAAGGTGGTGAAGTTCAGGGGGCAGCTTTGGCCGCCCTGCAGCACTCTTCTCACCCCAACCCTCCCCCTGCCTCCTGCCTCCACCCTCAATCTACCTCCCATTCCCANCCTCACCCCAGCCCTCCCCCTGCCTCCTGCCTCCACCCTCAATCCACCTCCCACCCCCACCCCCATTCTACCTCTTCTCTCTTTCTCATTTTGCCTCTTCACTTTCCTCTCGCTCAGCGCACTTCCCCTCCTTTCCTGCCTCCACCCAAGGTGACTTGGATCTCCTCCGTAGGCAGTGATGACGTGCCCCAGACCCTTGCCCAGTATCTGGGGTTCACATCACACATTCTCTCAGTCAGCTTTACCTATTATGTCAGATTCGTGGTTATAATTAGTCCTTGTTTGGGTTTGCTTTTCAACTCCTGAATTAAAAAATGGCTTTTCCTTTTTTATATCCACCAGGCATACAGAACAGGAGTTTATTTTGATTCCATGGTTGGGTAGCTCCGCTCCTGGACAAAATTATAATAAATGAAGCATTTCACTTGTCTCCCCTAAGGGAGTGAGCACCCTCACTGCAGTCAACAAGCCCTTCGCCCTGAAATTTCCCTGCAGGGAAAGCTCCCCCACCCCTTCCCTGCTGCTCAGCTCTGTTCTTTCTTTGTGTCTCTCTTCACTCTGTTTTTTTAAATTTTTTTTATTTTTAGTTTCTTTTTACCTATTCTTATCATTCCTTGATAATTTTTATTTTTTACTTTTTCAAAAATAAAAATCATAATTGCAGTAAACATACATGGATAAAAATGGGTAAATAATATATTTTGAATTATTACAGAGGAAGCATATCTGAGTAACCATCACTTTGGTCAAGTAATATTGGATTCTAACACCCTAGGAGCCTCTTAGTGATGCCTGCCGCTAACTGTTCCCACCCATCTTGCTCAAGTTAACCATCACTTTGACTTTTAACATCACAGATGATTAATTTTGTCAGTTCTGAAATCTATATAAATGTGTATAAATGGAATCATGCCCTCGGTATCTCTCTGCCTCTCTGCCAACTGGTTGTGGGGATTTGATGTATTTTCTCAACATTATGTGTGTTCTAGTCATCTGCATTTATTTTGCATATTTATTTTCACGGCTGAATAGTATTCCATAATAGAAATTATCCATTAAAAAAATAAAAGCATTGGAGGATTATACCAAACTGTTTCCCAAAAGTGTATGTAAAGGCAGAGATTTAGTTGCAAGAGCTTGGCAAATTTGAGTAACTAAAAGGAGCTTGTTCAGTGGGAAGGTGGCACGAAGGATGGGGAAATATGAAGCTGTGGTAGGTGTCCTTTAATCACCACAGCACGCAGTGCTAGGGCCACAAGACGGTATTGGGATTTAAGCAGTAGAGCCATAGGACCTTGTTTGAATTTTTGAAACACTCATTGAGCTCCGATGTGGAGAATGGATCTGAAGGGAGCAAGGTAAGAAGTAGCCCAGCAGGAGACTGTAGAAGTGAGAAGTGATGGGAATCTGGATTAGAGCGAGTATGCTGGGGATGGAAAAAATGGAAGGCAGGAGATTTTCTAAAGTTGGAATTGACAGAATTGGCAAATAAAATCATGGTTGTTTTAATCCACTAAGTTTTGGGGCTGTTTGTCACTCAGCAGTAGATAACTGATACAGCCTCCAATAGAGACATCCATTAGATCTTCCCATAAAGATCTTCAGGCACATGGTTGAATGAGCCTGGGTGACACGTCTGGGCTGGAGATGTGTGTTTAGAAGTCAAAGATCATAAATGGTGACTGAAGCCATGGAGAGGATGAGATGCCTGGAAAGGGGCCATTTTTTTTTCTTTTTAATTAATTTTTTTAAATTGAATTCATTAGGGTGACACAGGTCCACAAAACCATACAGGTTTCAAGTGTACGGCTCAACAAAACATTGTTCTCAGACAGAGGATGTATCAGATGCTAAACTGATAAAAATAGACACTACACCTGATTTTAGTCAAAAGGCCGAGAAGCAATAGGAGGCCTACTTTCACCTGAGAAGGTTCCAGGGCCATTCTGATCATTCTGGACACCTCACCTTCTTGATGGTATTATGAACAGCCTCTCGTGCTTTTTTCCCTGTGACTGTCTCTCAAACGAGACAACGTCTTGATTTGTCTGCGCTCTCTCTTTACTTGGTCCACTCTCCGCCGGCTTTTTACTCAGTGTTCTTTACTCTTCCTCTAAGTTGTCCACTTTGTGCCTCCAGCTCAGTTTTCTATTTAATGCTGTTCCTTCCCTCCTGTGTTTTTCTTTCTTCATACTATTTTCCTCCACATTCTTATAACTTTTCCCTCAGGGCCCAGCAGGGTCAAGGGTGATGCAAATGGGGTGCCCTGGACACAAGAAGGTGCTGAGAGTGAGACCCTCCTTATCTGTGCCCTAGGGTGTCCCTTGCCTCGCTCGAGGCCTAGCCCTGTCCCCTACCTGATTTTTCAGTTCATCCATCCTCTGTTATGGTTCTTATTTTCTTCCCTTCTATCCCCATTTCTTAATTAGTAATATGACCCATGCCTCTTCTCTATCAGTTTTGTCTTTCCATATATTTTCCTCATCTCAAGCATTCGGATCACCACCAAAGTTGTCCCCCTGTTCCCTACATCAAGTCCCTCCACCTGCTACTTCATTCTAAAGGTCCTTCACTTGGCTTCCTTGCTTGAAAATCTAACCAGCAGCATCACTCACGACTTCCATGTTTCTGTTATAACTTCTAAAAATGAAGCTCAACTTACTTTGTTTTCACCAGCTCCACAACATGGCACTGTTTAGATTCCATGTCAGGGTATGTGAACTCTACCTCACTTTTGTACACTGTGGCTTGGTGTTCCCAGTCCACCTTCTCCACAGTCTCTCTGCGTTCTCCCCCAGGGAAAGTCCTCCTTGGAAGAGCTTAGCTCTCTTCCTCCCTGGCCTCTCTCACCTGTTAAAAGCAGCCAGAGGCTGTGCACAAGGCTGTGTGTCTTGGGTGGTATTTAGGTGGGTGGGGGAGAATTACTATGGGGAAACAAAGGAAAGCTCCTCTCTTGTAGAAAAACAAAGATATACTTAGATCATTGGTAAGGTGGGTAATACTTACTTTCGTCATCAGAGGGCAATGGGCTGGGTGCCTCGGTTTTTGCATTTTCATAATTTCCTTGGATGGGTACTTGTTTGCAGGACTCTGAAATAAAAAAACATGACAGCTGAGGTCCCACAGAGCCTTGCTCTGCCTATGACCATTCTGTTGAGCCTCATCGGCTTCTCTTTCCTTCTCCTGTTCCTACTTAGAGCCTGACAGCACATATGGTCACCTTCACTCAATGGAAGTGTTTGTGCCTCATTGATTCCACAGGCAATCTCTTCCTGACTCATTTTAATGTTTGTTTCTGTCTCTCTTCCCCAGAGAGGCTCTGCAGCTCTTCACCCTTTGCCTCTTAGCATCTCTCTCTTTCTCCAGGTTTCTCCTATCAACATATCAGGCTCCATTACTGCGCTCTGTGTATCTGTGTGGTTGCCCTCTTTTTGTTAATAGATATCTCCATGAGTCACGCCTTACTTCATTCTGTGCCGCCAGCAAGTACCCCTCGGCCCCTCCACACTCATCAAGCCAGCCACTCATTCTTACCTGCGGGCTCAGACTCTTGGGCACGTTGTTCGTTTGCTTGTTGGCCTCCTGGTGCATCTTTGTTGTTACAGGTCGTACCTTTTCTCTTCACATTTGTCTGTTCTGTTTCACGGCGGTCCTCTGAGGGTCTATTTTCAGCTGTGGCTGTACCTAGACCACATTTTGTTTCATAGATATTTTATTCGTTCCCTGCATCAATCAGGGTCTAACAGGAAAATACAAAGCTCTCAGCTTTAGAGCAGAGGGAATTTAACCCAGGGCATTAGTTATGCAGCTGATGGAAGAGCTGAGAAGTCCAAATGCAGGAAGGCCACAGCCTGAAGAACAGTCAACAGAAAGCTAAGGGGGCGGAACCAAGGGGGAGCCCAGGAGCCAGGGCCACAGGGTAGGTGGAAGCTGGACCATGGCTGACCTGCCTGGTGGGAGGTGGAGTCGTGGGAGATGCAGCTGCTGCCAGAATTGCTGCCCATGGCAGGGGTGGGGAAACGCGCGGTCTTTCCCTTGCTCCCACTCGCCACTCTCTTGCTCTGTCTCCCAGCTTAGGAACCCAGCAGGAAGCAGCAGCAGGGGAGGTGACAAGCAAGACTGCAGGGGTCTGTGGCCGGAGAGAGAGGGCAGAGCAGAGCAGGAAATGATAAGGAATGAATCCCGGGGTACACCACCCAGGACCAGCGCACCCCTTCCCATGGTGAACCTCCATCGACCCATCCCACTCTGTTCCCACCAACCTCAGTAGTGTATGAATGGATAAATATTTTTACAGTGCAGCTTAGAGTTTTTCACTTAGTGCTATTTTCAAAGGAAAGTAATTTATGTAAAGTATGATTTAAAAATAATTCCCCTAATTTTAATATAGAATATGAACCCTGGTGCATTTTTATGCCACATCCACAGTTCCTTAGAGCCTCCTCTTGGGGTGGTGGGGATGACACACAGCCCTTAGCTTGCCTGTGCCTGTCACAGTCACCCACTCCTGCTTGTTGTGCATCATTTAGGTTGTAGGTTAAAATTTCTTTATATACCTTGTTCCCCATCACTGAGATACTCTGAAATTTCATTTCCAAGCAGGGTTGCTCTAAGGCCACATTGTGAGTTATAACATCATTGCCTTACACACACACACACACACACACACACACACACACACACACACACACACACTCTCTGAATCCCCTCTCTGCTCGTTACTTGTTACAATTCCTTCCTCTCACCTCTTTCTGTTCCCACCAACTGCACTGGTAGGTACATGGCTAATATGGATTCATACATTTTTAAAAGATATTTTAGCCCTGCCGGGCGTGGCTCAGCGGTTGAGCGTCAACCTGGGATCCGGGCGATTGGGGTTTGATTCCCAGTCAGGGCACGTGCCCGGGTTGTGGGCTTGATCAATGACCCTCTAATCATTGATGTTTCTGTCTCTCTCTCTCCCTCTCCTCTCCTCTCTCTGAGATCAATAAAGATACTTTAAAAAAAGATTTTAAAATTCAACTTTTTGAGTAAATGTGATTTGCTAAAAATATAACTCTGCTTTCAAAAATCACTCTGAAAGTTTTTTGTTTATAAAAATGTATTACTAATTTAGAGCACCTTTTCAATAGCACATCCCACAGGAAGCTACATAATAACACCTTCCATGGTGCAGGAAGTTCCCCAAATCTCTTCCACATCACTCATTTCCCGAGGAGAGTCATGCGACAAACCCATGAAACTTATTATAGACTAGTGTGCTCTGGGGTGCTCTGAGGTCCTCAACTTATTTACCTAGGCCTGAGGTTGGTATTGCTCTTATCATTGCTTTTCCAAATAGCCCACAGTTTAACATAGTGGTTAAAAGCTTAGACTCTGGCCCAGATACAAATAATAATGATTTTTAAACATAGTGATATTAGCAAATGCATGGAACCCTGGCGAAGTACCAGGCATGACTGTGAGTGCTTTACATGACATCACTTTTTAAAAATCCATCACCCTGTGAAGTAGGTACTATTATCACCTCCATGCTATAGATGAAACTGAGGGACAAAGAGGGGAAGTCACTTCCTCAAAGTCACAGGGCAGAATTTGAAGCCAGCTGTGGGTCACCAGACCTCCTGCTCTAGGGGTTAAGCCAGAGGTCAATCCCTAGTCTCAGTGGCTGAACTTGCACCAATAGCCAAAGTCTCAGCTGATTCTCTGTCCTCTGAAAAACGTGGATGATACATGATCACTTTATTATTTTTTTAATCTTCATCTGAGGACATGGTAATTGATTTTAGAAAGAGGAAGGGAGAGAGAGAGAGAAACATCCATGTGAGAGAGAAACATAAATTGGTTGCCTCCCATGTATGCCCCAACCGGGGATGCAACCCGAAACCTCGGTAAGTGCCCTGACCGGGAATTGAACTCTTGACCTTTCTGTGTATAGGACAATGCTCCAACCAACTGAGCCACACCAGCGAGGGCCATACATCATCATCTTAAATGTTTGAGAAGATTAAATAAAACATTGTCTGTATTACTATAAGGGATATCATGACTGATCAGAAAATTAACTCTTTCTGATCAATATCTTAAATTTATAATACTTTGATTTAATAACATTAGTAAGAGTGTTATAGATTAAGGGAAGGTCAAGAGTTGTAAACAGTGGGTATTGGTTGCTAAAGTACTAAAGTGTTTTTCTGGAAGCTGGTCAGGTGCTTCGCGGGCAGTTTCAGGCCAGCTGCTCGGAGATGATGGGAGAGGGTTGGCACAGGAGGCGCATGGTGTCCATGGCCCTGTGTGAGGGACCCAGTAGTGGAGAGACCCTGATCCAGGAGGAACACACTCATCACCCTTACCTCACCACCCTCACTGCAGTGCTGGCCACTGCAGGATGTGATGTCAAAGCAAGGCTGTTGCCAGATGCAAGCAAGACAGAGGCAGAAAATCATGAAGCCAGGTGCATGGGCGATAGATCCTGGCCTAGGCTGTTAGGAGCTGGCAGCAAGTGCATTTAAGGAATGTGAAGGGAGCAACCCTCCCAGGCAACCAGGTAAATGAAGACTCTGTTATTTAAATCCTTAGAGAAACTGCAGATGCAAAGACAACTATTCTGGGCAATCAGTACTGAAAAGAAGCTGCCCTCCCACCACAGCACCGGCCCAAATGGGACAAGAGCAACCAAGGATCACAGAACAGTCAACAGGAACAGACCATTGCAATCTGAGGGATGTGGGTGGATCCAGGTCAGGCATTGATATGAGCTTCCACTAGTTCCTGGGAGAAGAAATGAGAAGTTTATTTCATAAATTGAAGTTTATTTCAGAAATCCCATTCTCCCTTAATTCCCTTTTAATCTTTATAAAGTAGGACTTGAGGACCCCCCCACCCCCAGGTATCAATACAGAGGCCATCTGGGCCTGGAGGATTCCACCTGACTCTTGCAGTCAGACCCAAGTCCCTCTTTGGGCTGAGAGGGCATTAGCCGGTCCATCTCACTGAGTGTTTCCCATGAGCACCTCTGGTAACTGGCAATGGCTTTTCATGTCACCCATGGCCATAGTGAACCTGTTTTTGTCTCCGGAGCTGCCCCTGACTGGTGGCCTTGCCATAGTTCCTACAAAGTCCTGGTGCCTCATCCCACCCCCTTCACACCACGCTCTCCCTCTGAATGTCTGTTTCCCTGTCTCGTTGGCCTTTTACGAGGGTCAGTGCCTGATTCCCCTGCACCTCCTCCAGCTCCTGGTATTCTTCTTTCTGTTTCTTTCTCTCTGCATATGTTTCCCTATTTTTGTTTCATGCTTCTGTCTTTTCCATGAGATTATCTGGGTGTGTAGAGGGTTAAGAATACTAGCTGTGGGTTCAGAATGCCTGGGGTCATCTTGCTCATTTGACCCCCAGGCCAGCTACATACATGGTCTCTCAATATTTCAGTCTCCTTCTCTGCAAATAGAGAGTGATACTTCCTCCCAAGGGCAGCTGTGAGCACTAAGCCCACGACTGTGAGAGCAAACAGTCAATAAGTGAGCTCTTAATATGATTATTTTTTGTGCCCTTTACCCCCTTCTCCTGTTTTTCATTTCCTCTTTCTTCCTCTCTCTCAAAATACCCACATCCCTTTCTCAACACCTTGTCACTTCCCCTCCTCTCTGCCTACAGGACTGCCCATCTCCTTGAAGGTTTCTGCTCTTGAACAGCACCCCTGGCAATTAAAGCCATTCCTCAATCGGCCGTCATTAGGGGTCTGCTCTGTGACGATGACCTGGACCCAGAGTTCTCAGCCCTTCACAGCTTCACACTGATCTTCTCCTACGGGGGTCTCTCTAAATCACAGTTACTTCCCCGTCAGCATTCTCTTTAAATCTGGCTTCCTGACACACTGGGTTCCCGTTTCTCTGTCTTGGTTATTGGGTTTATGGTCTCTTCTCACAGCTCCTCCTTCAGGATCAGCCCCTGGTCAGACTCTCAGGTGAACAGCCCTCCCTGCCCTCTCCATGCTCCTCAACAGTTCTTCCCTGATCCCCAAACTCCACTGAGGACTCAGGGCCCACCTCCCCTTCTCCTTTCCTCTTAGCAGATCAGAATTGATTTTTATCTGGTTGCAATCACCTTGGTCAAGGCTTAGCNTCTTGAACAGCACCCCTGGCAATTAAAGCCATTCCTCAATCGGCCGTCATTAGGGGTCTGCTCTGTGACGATGACCTGGACCCAGAGTTCTCAGCCCTTCACAGCTTCACACTGATCTTCTCCTACGGGGGTCTCTCTAAATCACAGTTACTTCACCATCAGCATTCTCTTTAAATCTGGCTTCCTGACACACTGGGTTCCCCTTTCTCTGTCTTGGTTATTGGATTTATTGTCTCTTCTCACAGCTCCTCCTTCAGGATCAGCCCCTGGTCAGACTCTCAGGTGAACAGCCCTCCCTGCCCTCTCCATGCTCCTCAACAGTTCTTCCCTGATCCCCAAACTCCACTGAGGACTCAGGGCCCACCTCCCCTTCTCCTTTCCTCTTAGCAGATCAGAATTGATTTTTATCTGGTTGCAATCACCTTGTTCAAGGCTTAGTTGGGTGTTAGGGTTCTCCACACTCTCTTCATCACTGTCTTGTTGACAAAGTGCTTCATGGACCGCTGAGAAGATGGAGAGAGAAGAAGGTACTTAGATATTCCCATCAGAGACCAGGGACATCATCTTAAATTTACACATTTAGGAGTTTCCAGTCCTTGGGTCACTCAGAGCTCATTGGGTTCCTATCCTCATGGTAAAGTTCCCCATCATCCCTGCGATAGAATAGAGGACCCCCAACAAAGGAGCCCCTCGAATATCAGGAAAAAGAAATTGTGACAATATAGTGAGCCTGTTACTCATGTAAAAAGGTATCGTATGGTTGGGAAAGAAAATATGAAAATAAATACTGGAAGTGAAATTTGTTTTCTGAACTGTTCCCACTGTAATGAAGAAACAGAGGGGATACCTCAGTAGAAGGACTAGGATCCTAGAGAGATCCGTGTGTATAAAAGGAAAAGCCCAACAGCTTTAAAGATGGCCTTGGAGAAGAGAAGGGTTGGACTTAATTGGGTCAGGGAAGGGCAAGGGAGGCCCTGGGGAGGGAAGTCCGCACAGTCCATGGAGAGGATCAGAGCCCCTACGATGCAGGTAGTAAAGGTACCTGCCATTGCCTCTTACCCATGTTTTGGGACATCCTGGATACAAATATGATGTTGCCTTGAAATTTGTGACTAGGTATTTGACTTCTTCCTTTTTTCCTTTTCTGACTAAATGACTTGCTGGAGAAACAACTTTGTTCTCCATAAGTAAGATTATTATTGACACAAGTCAATAAGCCACATGCTTCATACGTGCTTTGCATTTTTTCCTTGCTTATAAACCTGGTAGTATCTCTTTATTGCCTATCTATAAACTTCAAATTGCTTAGCTTTCTATACTAAACTTTGCAAAATCACCGTCAAACTTATTTCTCTTGAATTAGCTCCCACAGTCTGCTTCTCACGCTCTGGTTGAGCCAAATTAAATTTGTCTTTCTTTCAAAGACACAGTAGTCTTTTTCACACTCTATGTCTGATCCCACAGCATCCACTCTCTTCAGGACAGGTGGCCATTTTTCTTCTAATATCTCTGTCTCTTATCTGGAGAACTCCACACTGAGACTCCATTAGAATAAAAGGTTCACTTAGGCAAGTAAATTATCTAT